AGCAGATAGCAGATGAAACTCTCAAAGATGAAACACTGAAGGAAGTGATACAGTATGTTCGAGAAGACAAATGGCCAAAGAAGCCTCAACCGAAGATCAAATGTTACTTCGCACTTCGCCAGTCTCTTTCGCTTCAAGACGACTGTCTTTTCTTCGGACCAAGAATCATAATCCCGTCGAAATTCCATGATCGCGTACTAGCACTACTACACGATGGACATCCTGGTATGTCAAGAATGAAGAGTCTTGCTCGCTGTTATGTCTATTGGACAAACATTACCAAGGATATCGAAAACTTCGTGCGAAACTGCTCCAACTGTCAAGAAGTTGCCAAGGCACCTGTCAAAACAGAACTGTTCTCATGGCCGAAAGAAGAGAAACCATGGTCACGTATCCATGTGGATTTTGCAGGACCGGTGAATGGAAAGATGTTTCTCATTATTGTGGATGCTTACTCAAAATGGCCAGAAGTCATTGAGATGTCTTCAACCACAAGCAAAGCTACTATACGACAACTCAACAGATTATTCGCACAGTTCGGATTTCCAGAAACCCTAGTCTCAGACAATGGAAGCCAATTCACTTCGTTGGAGTTCACAGAATTCTGCAAGAAAAATGGCATCACCCATATTCGCTCTCCACCCTACCACCCACAGTCGAACGGACAAGTTGAAAGATTCGTTGATACATTCAAGCGTGGATTGGAGAAGCTGAAGAGCTCTGAAGGGATGGCAGAAGCTGTGCAGAAGTTCTTAATGACCTACCGCATCACTCCCTGTGAATCATCTCCAGAAGGACTGTCGCCGGCTGAAAATTTCCTGGGACATCAAATCCGAACGCTCACACAGCTCACAATGCCTCGACACAAAAATGGAGATCGAAACAGGAACATGGAAAAACAATTCAACAGACACCATGGCGCCCGTGCAAAATCGTTTGAGCCCGACGATACTGTTTGGATAAAGAACTTCAAAGGAGGCAGAAGCAAATGGATACCCGGAAAAGTTCTCTTACGTCACGGACACACACTGTATGATGTCCTTGTGGATGGAACAGTAGAGAGACGCCACGCAAATCAAATGCGTCTTCGCATATCTAGCCAACCAGACCAAACGTTTTCGGATGTCTTCGATTTACCGGAAGAACCACCTCAAACTACAAAGCCGACGGCCCAAATTCAACGATTGCACCTGCACTCGATGAAGACTTATCCGAAAATGTAGAACACGACACGCCAAATCCAGCCAAAACGCCAAATGGAGCATCAGGTGGACGACCGCAACGCAATTCGACGACCGCCGAACCGACTGCAGATCAAGCCTATGAAGAAGTCCTACTTGTAGACAAATGAATCCTTATTGATCAGATGAATGTAGTCGTGTATGTTTTTTCACTCCCACCATTACATCTTAGGGGGGAGGTGTTGTAGATGGCCGGTTATTCTTCATAGGACAGTTACCATAGACTTGGCCAGTGATAAACTGTTATTGTGTTTACACTAGATTTGTTATTGAGTGATAGGTCGGCTATGGCCTATAAAAGCCTCAGTAGTTGGTGTGTCTCTAATTGTTCGTCCGTGCTCAATAAAGCACTTGGTGCAGAGCTGTTACACTTTCAATCAATATCGTTCTACATCATGCGACCCGATGAAATTTTTATTCTGACCACGGCGCAATGTGGCTGGGGGAGGGGCAGTCGCCTCGAGGCACGTGTCGGCAGCAGGAAATTCGTGAGCCAGGGGGAATGTAGCCAATTCAGGGGGGTCGGGGGTGAGGGCAGTCACTTGACATGGAACGGTCGAGAAGCTAGAATGTTCGAGTTGACACTACTTCGCTGAGCCGAGCGGCGACTGACCCTCCCTCGAGCCGCGCCCTGGACAAGATTATAAGTTAAGGAACATAGGATGTATACCGTAACCCGGTTTGCGTCAGAGCGCGGTTCTGCTAACAATGGCCTCGTAGCTTTCGATACGCGCACAGCAAATAACGTGACTTTGCCGAAATGTTCAAGTAAGTTGGCGCTTCATTGAAAGAGGGTCAGAACATTTGATTTGTACATGTTTCATTTGTTCAATGAGCTGAAATTCAAAAAATCAGCAAATAATCAGCACCCAGCGAAGCAGGAGTAGAAGGAAAAGCACCCCGTACGTGATGGCACGTGCGACTACCGTCCAGGGCCCGT